ATAGGGTATAGATTGATTAATGACAAATTGATAGATTGATATATATATATAGAAAGAAAGACCGATAGATAGATAAATAGATGCAGAGATAGATGGAGAGATAGAAACATGGATCGATAGATATATAGATGTAGATAGATAGATAGTTACATAGATAGAAATATGAATAGATAGATAGAGAGATGGATAGATAGATATATCGATATAAATTGATATCAAACTTCTATCTATAATCTCTAATATGCTTATCATTCATACAGCTAGACAGCTGCTCGAAGCTCGCAATAAACCAATATGCCCCTTCAACTACACAAACAAGTATCAATTGACAATAACAACAAACTATCACATACATCAAAACATAACACTAGCAGCTGGTGTTGCTTTTGTTTAGCAGAAACTGCCACGTAACGTGGCCAAGGGCAAAGACCACATTTGATACCCCTTACAAATGGGATTAAATGCTAAGCGCATAAGCCTGCCAGGCAACTGGCATTAACACTCTAGTATATTTTACAATTCAATTTAAGTGGCGTCACTTGCATAAAAAATTATACAACACAAGTTGAGTGAATTATTAAGCAATAAGTAAACAAATTGAATTCTATGTCCTCAAGCAAATTAGAAATGTTTGTTGAAAATTCCTATTGTGACAAAATTTTTAAAGAATTTTTTAAAATATGTAATATGTAATAGGTAAGAAAATTATGATCATTATCATTCCCTCTGCTCTACCGAAGAATCAAAGGTATTTAAAATAGCTAAATATAAGAGCTATTGCATAAAAAAATAGAAGTAATAATAATAATAATAAATAATTATGGAAACAGAAAATAGTCAAGCTCTAGTTTAGGCAATCAGCAACCGATATATATCTTTTATTGAAATGGCCTTTATGAAAAAATATAATGGCATAGTATGCTAAATATCCTAATTAAAATTAAATGATATATCATTTATATATTAACCAATCCTCAATTATTGCTCTTTTGTTATTACTAAATGATCAAAAGGCATTTCAATTGTATTATTAAAATAATTAGACTTATTAGCACATATTTTGTAGGGTATTTTCACTCATTCAAACCCGAACAAAGCTGTACTTGTATTTAATTGAATTTAGCATATAATTAAAAATCCGATTGACTGCAATTGAGCTTAAATACTATTTGTTTAGCTCTGTGTGAGATATAATAACAATAAAAAAAAACAAAAAAAAAAAAAAAAAACAAAGCGTTTTAGCTAATTAAAAAATTGTTTGTTGGCAATGTCAAAAAAGCAAATGAATATTTGCATGGCGTATCAAAATTATAATTAATTCATAATTAATTATTATTGTGCAATACACTAATTGAGCACTTTGTTTGTTTCTTAACGGTAATTAACAGCACAGGTAAACGTCGCGGCAAAGCTGGGAGAACTGTGAAAATAAAACGACCATTTAATTGTATTATTAACATAATTGTTTAACGACAGAGTTGATTTCCCTGCTCCTGCTGCTCTGCTCCTGCTGCTGCTGTTGGTGCAGCTCTTCCTGCCTCCTGCATGTTTACAATTTGCACTCTCATCCGTTTGGTTCATTTAAGCGTCGCACTTGTGGAGCCTTGTAAATGCGCATATTACCATTGCCCCATTAGCATGCATATGCGACGCAATTTGCGCATGCAGCGTTGAGTGGCATGCCACATGCGCGATGCATGCCCGATGCCAACAGCTATATAGCTACAGAGCTCCATTGTATTGGAGTCGGACGACAGGCGTGTCCTTTATGCGCTGCTTGACTTCCAATGCCAATGCCAATGTACAATGCCTGTTAGCCAGTTTTGTGCAATCAAATCAGCATTGCCATCAAATCATAACGAAATTTGAGTTAATTTTCTCTCCCATTCCACTCAAGCCAGTCCCATGCCAACTGTCCCGCTCTCTCGCTCTCTCTTTCTCGCATTGTCGCAATGGCATTGCGGTTTTTGCATTTTAACTAACGCTGAAATTTAAATGCATTGTTGTCGCCACCTACCAAGGGGGCGGGGCAGGTTGGGGTGGGGGTCGCAAACAATGCGGCGAGGCGGCAAAAGCAAGGCTTGATTGCGTTTCCGTTTTATGCAATTTTGTGGTATGAAATGCAATAATTTGTCGCGGCCTATGCGCCGCTGGCTGTGTGGCAGCCACAATGGGTGTGCGTGAGTGTGAGTGGGTGTGCGGGTGAGGCCTGCCTGGTCACAGAGTGCCGGCGGCTGTTTGAGCCAAATGCGGCAGTTGACGCGTTTGCATCACTTGTGTGTTAATATTTTGCCGATTGGCGCTGCAATATTTTGTCATTTGCAAACCATTATGAATTTATTTATTATTTTCCTGTCTGTTCTATGAAATATTTTCGCGTTGATTGCGTTTGTTTATGTCTGTGTGTGAGTGTGTGTGTTTGCGTGTGTATGTGTATATCGGGGCGTATGCGTGATTTTCAATTTTTCAGGCGAACGTGTGTTTTTAGCATTTTGCGTTGTTGCACGCAAATTAAAGTGCAGGCAAGCAGAAATTCAATCTCTTATTTGGTGATTGTGTTTTTTTTTCTCGTCAATATTGGGCCCGAGTTCAGCGCAAAAGTCCCTTACCAATTTTTTTATTTTGGTTGTACTCTCGGTCTGCTTTGAATTAAGGAAAGCGCACGTTTTATTGTTTGTTTCAATTGCCTGGCTGACGAGCAGCAGCAGCAGCAGCAGCAGCAGGACGAACGTAATCAGCAAATGTGCCAAGGCTGTTGGCTCCCCAAAAGCGAAATTAGTTCAATTTGTTGAAAATCAAGCTAACGTTTGTCTGTCCGCATGTGTCAGACGAAAGTAGCAGACAGACCAAAAAAGCGAAAAAAAAAAAAACAAGAAAAAATGAGAAGCTGAAGAGCAAAAGAAGCGACTAATTCTATTTAGCATTTTGCAGAGCGAACGACAACGACTCTGACGATGGCTAACTGGAATTATTCGCCTTTTTTTGTTCGCCATGCCGTGCAGTGTCCGGGCAAATGAACTCCGGCTAATTACTCAATGCAAATTAAAATTCATGTCAAGCAGATTGGATTATCCTCACGCAACATTAAATGTCGCGTTTAGCCTGGCAGCGGGCAGTCAGGCAGGAGGCAGCGGGCAGACGGCAGGAAAGGTGCTTGGCGCCAAATGGACAACCGGAATCAAGAGCGTAAAGGATAAGGGCGGAGCTGTAGCCCGAGCTCGAATGGTGGGTAGGTAACAAAGACAGCGTGCGAAGGCAGCGAAATCTCTTTTGAAATGCTAATGTAAAAATTCTTTAAAGAAAATTACGCAATACATTATTTTGGTTTATTTTGCATTAAAAGTCAATTTAGTGTTAAGGCACAGCAACAACAACATTAGAGACAGAAAAAAAAGAAAGGGACGAGAACAAAGCAACAAAAAACATGCGAACAGCAGAAAAAAAGGGCCCCAGCAGCAGCAGCAACAACAACTACAACAACAACAACCTGAGCAGAACAAAAAGGAGCTGTAGAGCGTAAAGAGCGCAACAGGATTGGGCCATGGCCGTGGACTATGTGGACAGGGGCGACGTGCAGGAAACGTGCAAGGCTTTCCGGGCGTGAACCTGGACGCGAACCGGCCGGGCCATGACAACGCAACTAACTACAGTTTGCCTCCGTCGACGTAAATAACAAACGACCGAAAGTTAGCATTTTTATTTTGCATTTTAAGTTGATTTGCCGCCTGCGTGCTGAGCGTAGTGTCAACGGCACTCAGTCCGCAGGATCCCAAAAACAGAGCTGGCTCTCAACACAGGGAGCAAGAAAGAAAAAAAGACACACACCCACACGTTCACATATTCCTCAGGGATGTGGGTGTGAGCCCTGGTCTACGGTGGGCTAAATATGTCATCTACTACTTAGCTAAGTGGAGCTACAGTCTAGTGAAGATCCTGACATTTGATTATTTTTGAATGAAGTTGCTGAAAAAGAAAATTCTATTAAACATGGGATGAAGACACAACATGTATATAAATATAAAAACATTTCCCAGTGAACTTGAAACGATGCAACTCAAGCTTGAAATTTATATTTCTGAAGGAATCTCATTAAAATAAAATTAAAAAAAAAAATTAAAGTAAGAAAAAACACGTCTTATATAAATATAAATAATAATGATAATATAAATATTGCGAGCAGTTAAATTATACAATACAAATTGTATATAAAATATATAACAATTAATGAACTAAAGTATTCAAAAATTCTTATATTAAAATGTCAATTTTGATATCGAATTTAATTATCTTTATGAGATACTGAAAGAGAAAATTTAAATAAATTGTATCTTAAGCTGAATCACAGTCAACATAATTTTTACCCTTTGCTGCCTCTCTTCCCTTTATTTATGACATTCTTTATTTGTAATTAATTAGGAAATTAAGTACGCATTTAAGTTCAATATGGGTATTTTTAAATTTCGGTTCGGTTTGTGTTCGCTCAAGCATTTTTTGTGTGGCAAATGGGATAATGAGCTTTCGGCACCTCGCCCCACAATGTGCAGCAAAGACATTTCTATGGCTACTTTTCCCGTTTTTGTTTTTCTTTTCCCCTAATAGAATATAGATATTTTTTGTAGGTTTTTTTGCAGATTTTCCACCATTGTGCATTGGTGTCCTTTTTTCGTCTTATACTTTGCGTGGGGGCTGCTGCGGCACGCTGCTCTTTATCTATTAAAACGCCTTCCAATTTGCATATTTCTGCAGCTGTAACAGCTGTCAACGCTGGACAGTGATGATGGTGGCTGCGACGGCGACGCCGACGTCGACGTCGACTGAGCAGTCGGCGCAGGACTTATTGTAACAGCAAACGAGGAGCAGCTCTTAAGATAATGTACTCCAGCTCTCACAGCCCCAGCCGCTGCTGCTGCTGCTGCTGCTGCTGCTGCTGTCGCTGAGTGTGCGAGCAAATTAAAGCTCTCGTATCGGCTGAGGGTAATTTGAAAAAAATATATATGTACATATATATATATATATACATTATATAAGAAAAGTAAAAATTGTGTGGTCGTTGACGCGACCAAGAGATATGCTTAAAGCCAACTATTTATAGTCATATATTTACTATGATATTGTGATTTAGTAGGCAGAGAAGAGGAAATACTTTAAAGAGAAGAGCTGTAAATTGAAATAAGACAAGACATTTTTACTTACTTGAGTATCTTCCTGAAGTGAATGTACTTTAGAGGACTCAGTTAGCATTGCCTATTTTTTAATGATCTTAAATGTTGAGATTCAACTTGGGATTCAGCTGAATGTCTCAAGCTAATAAATACTTGGAAATTTGGTTTTTATTCTCGCAGAAGCCACACTTTTCATTTATTTTCGTATATGTCTGTATGCCTGGGTAGCCTGTCCATGGCTATTAATGCGCTACACTGCAAGGCATATTGGCTGCGCGGAGTGGCAGGACTACCAGTGTACACATGCCATTAAAAATGAATTGTGCAATTTGTTGTAAGTTGCTCTTAATTTGAATGCTAAAAGTGTGTTTGCCTGCGCACATTCCGTGTGTTTACTGTAGGGCATTTGCCTGGGTCCCACTGCCAGAGCAGTCGAGCTGCCACTTGGGCTATTTGATTTCGTTTTATTTCATTTTGTTTCATTTTGTTTTATTGTGTATTTCCTTATTCTTATTCCTTATTCTCTCTCTTTTTTTCTCTCCCTCTATCTCTCTCTCTCTCTCTTCTATTTGGCTTGTTACGCTGTCGCATTACCTACATCAAGTGTCACTTTAAAACGCATTTTTCTTTTGGCACCGCGCCCCCGATCCCGTCTCCGCCGCCGCCTCCGCCTGACCCATAGCTTTGAAGTGTTGCTCAAAGCTGTCGGCTGTTGTGCTTATCTAAGGTCTATTGTTCGGTATGCCCGTCGCGGCGCTTGTAAACAATTCCATGCACATTAAGTTCCAATTAAGTAACATTCAAGCCAAATCGCTGCCCGTCGTCGTTGGGCCGTTGTCGTCCGTCTATGGGTAAATTGCGGTTTGTTTGGTTTTCGAATGGCAACAACACGAACAGCAGCAACAGCAGCAGCAGCAGCAGCAGCAGCAGCAGATTGCTTTGTTAATATTAATTTGTCATTAATTTCAACGACATCAGCTTACAAGCAGCTCGTTTAAAATGCATTGATAAGCCAAGTGGCCCGGCTGCTAGCCGTTTTCCTATACCAATCCACACACACACACACACACACTCTCACAGCCATCAGATAAATTTAATGCGCTTTAAACTGTTTGGCTACTGCTTGAGGGCTGTCTTTGTGAGTGCTGTGCAGCAGCAGCCGCAGGAGCAGGAGCAGGAGCAGCAGCTCCTTGGTCAAGTCCTTTCAGAAAACTAAACACAACTGTTGCTTGCGCATTTGCACGCTGAAAGGGTGCGAGGTTTTTGGTTGCGGCCTGACCGCGGCCATTTGCTTCACATCTTAACCTGTGTCTATCTGCCCATCAGTTGAGGGCCAATCTGCTTTAATACCCAGCACGCTCGTTTCAAAGGGTCGCTTGCCGCCGGCACCGAAGCTGGGCAGGCACATTGTGAGCACTCTTTGAGGTGCCACATATTACGTGATATATCGCAGGCGATGCACAAGACGTCGATGCGTCTCTGTCGGGCCCCGTCTTGGCTCTGTCAATGGATAAACTCTTGATGTGTTCTTAGCCTCTATTTTTATTTTTTTGTTAGTATCCAGCATTGTAAACATTGACAGGCTTAAATCTCTCCACTGTCGATGCTTTTTATTTGTAGCTACATTTTGTGGAGAAATTTACAAACAGAAACCCTACTATGTGGACCGCAAACCGTAAGAATAAAATGATGCTTATATTACCTGGCAACGCGGCAGCCATTCAGTTGGCCAGCTTAGTTTTGGCCCGGCTTTCAGCAGTCTGTATAGGCTTTCAATGCTTGCTGGCCAGCGTCAAGCGCGTAAAAGGTAAATGCAGTCCACTTTCAATGAAGCCGCAGCAGAAGTAGCAGCAGCAGCAGCAGCAGCAGCTGTAGCTAAAAGCTGAAAGGGCACACACTCTGTTGCCTTTTCAACAGAGAAAATAAAAAAGTGCAAAAATAAAAACAGGTGTTATCTGATTGCTATTTTAAACACAGCTGACGGCTGAGAGCAGCTAAACAAATACGTGCAACATAAAAAATTAAATCACATGCATACGCTATTCACTCCATATTCAACTGGTTTGCACGCTCAAAGAGGTATTCAACCAAAAAAAAAAAAAAAAAAAATACTAGTAAGAGTGCGCTAGTTGGGCGTGCTAGACTAGGAGATACTCTTAATACTGTGAAGAACTAGAATGAAATTTAAAGTAAAGATAAAAAGCCGTACAGACAGAAAATCAGGCGGATAGAAGGAACGGACAGACAGACGGGCGACTAGGCATGGGTTTGGACGAATTGACAGATGGTCAGAGGAATGAATGAACGGAAGAACGATTGGCAGATGGATGGATAGACGGACGTACAGTCGGGCTGATTGATGAGTGGTTGCACGAAGCAATAGACGACGAACGGGCTAACCATAAATGTGTAGAAGAGCTTGGTTGGATTGACTTAGCTCGTCGTTCAGATCAGCATGAATATGCTTTTAAAGAATATATTGTATACCCCCTATAAGCCCAGGGCTCCAAGTGCCAGTGCCTAATATTAAAGTTTTTTTTGTTTTGTAATTTTACATTAATTCTAAGCCCTAATAAATGAATATATATACATCTTCCGCTGTTACATATGCAATTTCAAGCCATTCTACCCTGCCTTCGCAGTTCGCATGGGCACAGGGTATGCAAGCTGCATAGAAAATATTTGCAATTGCAAGCGGCTTAGAGGATAGAGACAAACATACACCATTTAAGTAGTTGGTCAGACTCTGAAAGCAGCTAGTTGCAACATTCAAGTAATATTAATATTTTTTCCTTGGCTACGGCAGTATTTATTAACAATGCATAATTTATGGCTGTGGATCGACAGCAAAATTGCATTTAATTAAAAGCTCTTTTACAATTCTTGAGCAAGAGCATTCGAGTTTTGTGAATGCCCAGGTCTCTCTTTAGTCCACACTTCCTTTTGCAATTGGTCTGTCGCTTTGAGCAAGTTTGTTTGCTTTAAGCTGTGCAGGAGTTGGACTCGGAATGTGAGCTGGTGCAGCGGTGCGTATGAGCAATGCAACTTGTTTAAAGTCACACTAATTAAATGCCACTATAGAACTTGGACTTAGGACTTGGATAATGACGCTACACTGCTCCTCTGTGTGTGTGTGTGTGTGTGTGTGTGTGTGTGTGCGTCGTCCTGTCCTGCTGACACAGTGCTCTGTCGCAGTATCGGTAATTAAAATCTAAAAAGGATACAGTTCTTCCTGTTGCGCGCACCCCGCCCACCCCCGAGTCGCCCGCCGGCACTCAGTGCTATTTGCTTAAGCTGCAGTTATCGCCAGCTGTGCACGCCGCGCAGCCAGTGGGCGTGTGCCACAAGTGAGTGCACTTGTTAACGTCGGACTAAGCAAATAATGAGGTGAGCCATACGAGCTTTTAATGAATGAAAGCGGTAATCGTTTTGAGTCGCAGTGTATTTAAGCGTATCAAAGGACCATGAAGACATGCAACGCCTGACTCGTTCGCGTTTAGCTATTAAGATAAATAAATCCGTACTCAATTTTCTCACACAAAACGTAAATATGTATTTCGCTTAAGAGTTTCATATGGAGCATGCTGCTCAAATGCCATAGCCATAACCATAAGGACGACCATAATATCCGCCGCTGTATATACTGCCATAGGAATTATAGGGATAACGCATGCCATATCCACCATATCCACCATATCCACCATATCCACCATATCCACCATAGCCACCGTAGCCTAATCCTCCATATCCGCCATATCCCAGTCCACCATATCCCAGTCCACCATATCCCAATCCACCATAGCCGCCATATCCTATGCCTCCAATGCCGCCAATACCTCCAATGCCTCCAATGCCGCCAATGCCGCCAATGCCTCCGATGCCTCCTATACCTCCACCATAGCCACCCAATCCATAGCCGCCATAGTATGACGGATAGCCTCCATAGCCAATTTGTCTCGCTACGCGTTGTCCGCCGGCCGCTGGCTGTGCCTCCGGCTGTGCCGCATCCTGCTGCTGCTTCGGGCCTTGGCCAACTGTTGCGTCCAATTGGCAGGCAACGATTAGCAGCAGCGCATATAATCCGAATATGGCGCCGTTCCGCATAATGTCCGGTGTTCCTTAAGCTGTTTAACTGGCGAACTGCTTCAACTTGTGCTTATTTGGTATGTGGTGTGGCGGCAGCCGTGTTGACCCGTGTGGTTTGTATGTCGCTGGTGGAGACAACTGTGGCCCGGCCAGCGAGTGTTTTCGACCATTTATAGCCTTAGAACTTTGCGCATAAAATAGAAACTTTTGTTTCATTTTTTTTTTTGCTTGGGCGCTTGTTAGCGAAATGAGACGCTAATGTAAACGTCATAAAACAAACTATTTAAATATGCGATTGCGGCACAAAATGGAACAAAAAGCCAATTCATATAGCTACCAGTTGGCAGTTGCCCGTTGCCCGTTGCCCGTTACCAGTTGGCAACACCATTAAGTCGCACGCTAAGTGGCGTTCATGAAATCGAATGGCTCAGTGGATGTTTAAAGAGCAAAACATTTCACTTTGCGGTAGATGGCGGTGGCGGCGGATGGTGGTGTTGGTAGTGGTGGCAGGCCCACCAGGTACGTTCAACTTTTTCGCCACCTGCTGACCCAGCGCTTAACCAGTGCTTGCGGTCAGGTAAGCTGTGCAAATGTGCTAATTTCATTTGAAGGTTAGTTATGCTATTGACCAGGCCAAGACCTCTTCGGGCCGTACCGCACAATGCTCGCCGCACGCACACGTCATAAGCTTCAACTTTTGGTGCGTAAGTGTAAATTGCTGTTTGTTGTTGTTTGTTTGTTGTTGTTGTTTGCTGGTGTTGGCTTTGCTGTTATTGTAGGTGTTGTTGCTGTTTGTTTGCCTATTTGCCAGCCTGTTTGTTCGCATGTTTGTTTTTGTTTGGCTAGCTGTTTGCTTTATGCGCGGCCTGGCCATTAACAATACTCGATGGCTCAATGCCTCTGTGCAGCTTTGCGGCCTGCCGCATGTACCACGATTTTTAGTTGTTTTTTATTATTATTTATATATTCTTGTTTTATAGAACATTCTATACAGCCTAAGCTAAATCCACGGACAGAGATAAATAAATAGCAATGGCCAAGCTGCCATCAGCTCCATATTTATTCATTTATGCAAAATGATCGCGTCATGGCTGAGAAATAGTTTGTCCAGAGTGTCGTTGTTTAATTTGCTTATTCAAATTTAAACGCTTTAAGCCAGTTTAAAAACTGGGTCAATTAACGACGCGTCGTCCACAGCCAAAGCTGCGGCACAATGTGATGTGCTGTCCACTGACATTCCGGAGAACTATCGCACTCAAAATTTTGACTAGACTCGTCACGAACTGCCATTATCTCCGTCCCCATCGTCCGGCTGCATAAATTAGCGCTTGGCCAAAACAATAAGCCAGCTCGGATTAAAATTGCATTAATGCTATGCAGGGGTTAAATGTGCGAAGAGAAGCGCACATTTCAGAGAGATTTAGATATCAGGAGAGAAGGCTATAGTGAGAATGAGAGAGAGGTAGCAAGAGAGACAATTAGAGAGAGAGAAGTAGGGGGAGAAATAATCAGACAGAGAATGAAATGATAGAGCCGGCAATGCAGAGAGTATCAGAAACAGGGACAGAGGCAGGAGAGATAGTAAGACTTAGAGCTAGATACAAAGAACAAAGACAGATAACTTAGTGAGAAAGGGAGGGATGATAGAAAAAGAGGTACTGAGAATCATGGAGAGAGAGGGAGAGAGAAAGAGAGAGAGAAGGAGAAGAAAGAGAAGAAAGAAGAAGGAGAAGGACAGATGAGACTAGGAGAGGGAAATATAGAGAGCTTTAGAAAATAAGAATTATGGAGAGATATGGAGAAAGATAAAGGAATTTAGAATGAGAGGCAGCGAGTGGAAGAGTTGAGGATACGCAAGAAAAGGATATAGATTTAATATAGAGAACAATAAAGAAGAGATAAAGAAGGAGCTGGAAGAGAGGAATGAAGAGAAAGACCGAAAAGATAGCAGAAGAGAGAATGAGGCGTACAGAGACTGATTGATTGAAAAATGATTTAAGAGTCATCTACAATGTAAAATGTATTTAATTCATCGTGTCCGATTTAAAAGTCTTGGTCTCAAGCGTTAGTTATTTTGTTTTAACTGCGTTTATAAGTATATGTTTATGGGCTTGTCTCCTTATATGAATGAAGATTTTTTCAATGTCTTTTGTGTCAATTAAAAGTTAACACATTTTAAATTCATAAGCAAGTCTTCATAATGACTGGGGCTGGCGAGCCTTGGTAAAACCGTATACTTTTCCAACTCAGGTATTTAAAATGCAACTTTAATTGATATTTTGGTATTAAGTTCTGGAAAGTAATTACTTTCGTAGAAGTTTCGCAGCTTACACATTTGAATTTCTGTCTCGTAGCCACTTGACCAGCTGCCCTGCGTGTATTGCGTATGGGGGCAACTTAACTGGACTTGTCTAGTTGCCTAATAAGTTTCCGTTATTATTATAGGGCAAGCGATTGCTGTTGTTGCCGTTGTTGTTCACGCTTAGCCAGACAGTTAATATAAAATGCTCGACTCGGAGTATACATTTCATTTGGGAGTTACTGCAGCGCTTATGGCCGGGCAAAAGTTCGGGTAGCCCGAGCCCGAGCCCGAGCACGAGCCCAGGCCCAAGCCTGAGCCAAACCACTTCTAGTTTTATGGCCCCGGCTATCGTTTAGCTAGACTGTTGGTGAATTCATATAAATTGGTTTGGCCATGAAGCTGAGATCCTGTGAGGGCAGCCTCAAACTTTCTATTGCTATTCGAGTTTGGCACAGAAGCCGTGCTCAGATTGCCCGTAGTTGGCCAATGAAAATTACTAAATTAAATTTCGGTTCGACTTAAAGTTTAGTTTCGGCTTAGCTTAGTCTTCTTAATTATAGAGTTCATTTATGGCTTAGCTCAAAACATATTTGTAATCAAAGCCTTTTAAGTACCTTTTGTGCATACACATATATGTAATGTATATAAACTGCCGCTATTGATATAACAAATAAATGGATTGCTCCTTATCGGGAACGCTTTACTCTCTTAAATTGCCACCGTTTGACGTCCGTCGATAAAGATTAAATGATTGCTGTTAAATTTGGCTTTTGACAAGCGGATTTTATTGTTAAAAAATTAACTCGGCTTTAAATTTACGCCTTTTGTTATCCCTTGACCTTAGCGTGGTCGCTACGCACACACACACACACGCCGACGCACACACATACTTAAGCACGCCCCCACCCGCAATTTATAAAAGTTTTGCTCAAAACTCTATGTGCGCTGTGCCCTGGCATAAAGGAAAAATGTCTTTATATTGAGGCTGGAGCTACTGAGGGCAGGCATTTCATTGCATACCCTTACCCTGCTTACCCTTGCCCTTACCCCTACAGATGCCGCTGCGATGCTACGCAGCTACGGCAAACATTTTCCGAAAGTTTTCGCAAAGAATAAATGTTTGATATACAGTTAAAAAGGATGTAACGGAAAAAATTGTTTATACATTCTGGAGCGACATTAAAAGTTGATAGCAAACAAGACTCTATATGTAAATAGCTGGCCATGGGCGTTGGAGCATGAATGCGGCTTGACTTGACTTCACTTGCCCTGCGTAGCATCTTATCAGGGGCGTGTCTCAATAAATCTACACCACCTTGATGATGGGCCATGCTCGCATCGAGCCCAGCTCGCAGCTGGCAAAAGCCATGCTAACTGATTATCCTTGTTGTCCGATAGAAGCTGTAGCAGCAGGAGGAGTAAAAGCAGGAGCAGAAGCAGAAGCAGCCACAGCAGCAGCTGATTGATTTGTTATTGAAAATATTAGGCCTCTTTCGAAACTGGAATCGATTTCGGCAACGGCAAAGGCAATGGCAAAGGGGATAAGGCAGGGCGAGATGGCTGCGGTGCCGAAACGTGCTGTTGGATACGCTTGAAACTTTTATAACTTTATGAGGGCGTTGTAATTTGATATCGCAAAGTTTTTTATTGCCTTTTATAGGCTTATAATTTGGCCGCGATGCTGTTTCTGTTTGCCGCTATATAGCTATATAGCTGCCATTGTTGTGGCAGCAGCAGAAGTGGGATCCGCTTGGCAGTTGCCCACAGGGCGTATGCTTGTTATGGCATCTCTTTGTTTACACGTTATTTATGGCTTATAAATACGAGTACGCCTGTTTGTAAGCATGTATCATTTGCGTTAGAGTTGGGTGGGGTGGGAATGAGGAATGGAGGAGGGGAGGGGGCACTCGAGGCATTGGCTTTCCAAATTGTAAGCAACTTACATGTGAAGTGTGCACACGAAATCTCTTAATGAGCATTAGAATCGGCATAATGCTGACGATGAAATTGCGTATACGTATAATTGGATTAGTGGTCTATGTACTTGGCTTGGCATTGTTGTGCTTCGACGACATAATTAGCCATCCACTGAGCTCGGGAGCTCAGGTTCATTCTGCCACGAAGCGAACAAACAACAGCAAAGCAGTTAAAGAAGCAGTTGGGCTCAGTACTCAGTACGCGCTGGCGGCACTTTAAGGGGATTTTTCTTGGCCATTTGATAATGCTCAGGAAATTTAATTGCTCGAAAGGGTCAGCGGCTCGTTAAGAATTAACAGGCATGCCAAGCACCAGCAGCAGCCCCATCTATACATATATAAAGAGTCGAGTCGAGTGCTTGTTACATTTCAGTATTGCAGAGAGTCGGTGCCCTATAGCGAGGGTGCAATGCGTGTTATTCATTTATATCTAATAGTGCTGAGTGCTCTGCTGCCCSTGCTGGCAGTGGGCGCTGCTGCTGCTGCTGCTCCAGCAGCGGAAATGAAGCAACTGTTGTTGGCGGATGTAAATCAGGCAGCGGATCAGCAGGAGATGCCGGCTTTGCGCTTGGCCAGGCAGTTAGGCAACATCGGACGTTTTGGACGTTTCGGCGGTGCTCGGTTTGCTGGCGGAGGTGGCCGACGATTTGGAGGCGGCAGATTACCTTTCGGATACAGCAGGCGTCGCGTTGCCTTCGGCAGACGGCGTTTAGCCAATCCTGGTTCCTTCTACCCACAGCCATTTGGCTTTTTTGGCTAATTTATTAGAGTTTAATGCAAATATGCGATAAAGTATTTAGCGTTAAATAAATCCAACTATCACTTAAGTAAATATAAAACGCATTAATTAGTTTAAATGCCACTCCTACCGGGATGCCACATAAACATATGCACGCCTATGCCTTTGCGCGTCTCACACATTAGATATTCCTTGACTCCAGTTGAGACTTTGAGCTGGAAGCAGCAGCGGAGTGCGTCGCGGGAGTTGAAGAATGTCCCAGCAGAGGCAGCAAATTGTCGTCGGAGAATTGAGGGTTTTATTGGCTACGATTAGCATATTCTCGGCTGGCGTAGACCTGGTCGTTAGCCAGATAGGCAGCCAGCAGATGTAGGACTAAGGCAGATGTTTAAATAAAGGCCAACAGAGAGATAATAAAATAAATAGAAAAATATATAAAAGCAGCTGGTGCAGCAGCAGCAGCGGGTTAATGCTTGCCTGTTTTAGCCTGCGGGCTTTGCTTTGGTCTGGTAGAATTTTTATTTCAAATCACGTTGAGTGACACAGGACAAGAAACTTAATCAGCAATGTTAACGATGTTAGATGGCATCGCCGTCTGGTGGTGGCCAGTGGCATAAAACGGGTTTGTTCCGGGTCGCGTATTGCCGTACTTTTTTCTAATTCATATGCGTTTCAAGTTTTAATTACGTGGTGGAAAGACAACAACAGCAAAAACGAGGAGCCAAAGACGAAAAAGGAGCAAAAGGAAACGAGCATGCGAATGGCTGGACGTCTTCTGACTTGGCTTGACTGACAGCAGATTCAGACAACGCGACGTTGCACCAACATGAAAATAACAAAATACGCCCAATCAGCGCAGCAAGAACGGAAGCGACGCGATACACACACACACAGAGATACAAATACAGAGCCAGAAACAGAAACAGATACAGATACAGCAGCAATGGAGGGCAGGCAAAAAAACAAAAAAGAAAAGGGCGAAAAAATTAAGTAGCGAAATCAGCGGGCGAAACAAAAAGGAAAAAGTAAACCAAGTAAGCAAGAGTGCTTACGCAGTATGCATGACTCTAAGATACCCTGTAGTCTCGAGCGGATTACGCATCGATTGCCCAATAAGCCATGTTGCACAATAGACTTGCAAAGATATGCGGTAAGCTCCATTGGAGGCAATGAATCATTTTTTAGGGTATTTGAAGAAACAAAGCAACTGAACGTTAAAGCTGAAATGAACAGCAATGTACAGTGTACAGTATACAGCGTACAGCGTGGAGCGTGGAGCAAAGGAGAACACAAGTCTAACAGGATAAAGGCGTTGCATGCCAAGGATTATCTGTGGCAAAGAGAAAGCGAAGCTGCTGGCAGGAGTAAAAGAAAAATGGTAGCACGCAAAATTGTGAACTCACTTGACGTGGCTCATTCTGGTTGAGTTGCCTGGCTCTGCTTGCCTGGAGTGGGCTAGCACTAGCAGGAGAAGAAGAAGCAGCAGCAGCAGCAGCAGCAGCAGGAGGAGCAGCATAAGCAGCTTCAGCTCTCAACGTCGAATATCAAGCGGCATGACGTAGTTGTTTTGGCGTTGACGGGCTCGTCTGTGGCATCGTTCCTTAGCTGTGCGTGTGCCGACCAAATCAGCGTCTGCCAGCAACAGCAACAGGATGAGTTACAGAAAGCACAAGCATAAATATGCACAGGCCACTGGCAGCAGCTGCGATCGGACCTGAATAAACCAATCTTCAAGTATTTGGACAGCGTGCGTGTGCCTGGTCAACCTAAGGCATGGGTGGGTGAGGGCTATAACAATTTTGGTTCAGTAATTAACAATTACATGGATGGGAACCAATGGCAGCTTGACTTGCCTGCCCACTGCCGGATGCCTGAATTGGTAACGCAGCGCTTGATTGACCGTCAGCTGTTATCAAATTGAATGCCCGTCCGTCTATCTATGTGTGCGTGTGCGTCTATCTGAGACTGTCCCTGTAAGCCTGCACAGACTCAACCGTCAATTTATTTCCATGTTCATGCCCGAACAAATACAGAAATTAAGTTTCACTCCATCATATTTTTGCAAACTGCGCCAAAAGCTTATTTAGTTCATTGCGAATGCCGTTTAGCCACTGGGCATGCATATTGTAGCTGCATTTGCTATATCGCATTGATTTCAATTGCTATGAATGCAATTTGCGTAGTTGCTCAGAAAATATCTGTTGCAATGCTTTTTTGTATTTTGTCGACTTGAAAGCAAATTGTTTATGACAAAACTTTTTCCTTTTGAAAATTAAATAAATATTTGTATGCCCCGAACCCATCGAAAATGCGAAATTGGAACAGGATTGCATTTGCTGATATGTGTCAAACAGGCAGAAAGAGGCATGGCCTTAGGCTGTCTTAAAGATTGTATACATATAAGCTTGATGTGGGCCTGAGTTGATCTAGGTCCCCAAAAATAATGAAATCTATAAATATTTCCCTTTTAATTATATAGACTTAAATCGTAAACAAATTTTTGTTTTTAATTATTATTATTATTTCTTTTAACTCGAATTTTATTTACTTTCACAAATTGTGAAGTATACTTAAGATCAGTCAGGGTATCGCCAAGTCGGATTTGTTCAATTCGTCAGCGTTTGGATTGTGTGGGCATTCTTTATCATTTTTGTTCTTTAATTGTATTTGTGGCTGGAAGTTTGAGTGAACAGATCGAGACAAAACGAATGTTTGCTATGCTGAAAATCTAGAGAAAATCCCTAATTAAACAGTTTGTCAGTAATGCAAATAAACTTTGTTAAACTTTTGCGTACCGCTAACGACTGGACCGGGCACAAAGGCAATTGCCCCGCGCTGCACTCTCTTCTCTTCCCTTCGCTTTTCATTTTCTGTGGCCAAACACACAAAAATGTAATTATTAAAAAATTATGCTAAACACGCAATAAAAAGTTGGTAGAAAAAAATTAACGAAAAACTCGAAAAGTCCAGCGGCAGGAGGCAAACAGAAATTAAAAAACGAAAAACGAACAAACACAACCGAAGAAGAAAGAAACCAAAAAGAAAAATGTATTTTTAAAAAGGCAAATGGTCAAGTAACAATTTTCATCTTTTTGTGTGTTAAGGAAAGAAAAGAAATGAGAAAAAAAGAAGAAAAAATTAACAATTGTTAATTTGAAAATTGCACACAAATGCGTAATGTGAAAGTTTTTGCGTGCCGCTGCCAGAGTTTGTTGGACTTCGGGGCTCTGCTCTGGCTGGGCCACTTGTTAAGTGTTAATGAAATAATTATGCCAACTTTTGTTGGGGCTGTGGCGGTGCACATGACTGCCCATTCGCACCAGCAAGCATATACATATATATACTATATATACATATACATGTATATATGTGTATATGTATGCTGAGTACCCGGTGGGGGCGTGTAACATTCTCTTCAGCTACTTCAGTTTTATTGTGCGCCTCCCCAGCGCACAATGAAGTGTGAGCTCCCCCCGCTCGTGCTCATGACTTGCTTTTTCTTGTTGTTGTTTTTTTTTTGTATTTTTTTTTTAATTCGATAAACTGCCCTCTGAAGGCGCCACAGCCGACCGACGACAATGAGCTCGACCTTGGTTAGGGAATGGCTGGAGGCTGCGCCTAAAAGCAGGCAATGCTTTTGTTCTCGCGTCTAAGCCGCTTAATTACAATACGTTGAGCCTGCGGGCGTCGACTGCTATTTACTTAAGACGCGAAAATGTGATTAACAAGTGTGAAAAGCCGTTTGGCCCCTCAGCAACAACTTTAACTTGAATACCACTTTTATTTTTATATCATTTAATTTTATTATATGGCGCCCTCGGCTCTGACTCTTACTGTGGGCGGAAGTTTCATTTTGCTTGAATAACTTTAATTGATTTAGTTGCTCTTCGTGTGTGTGTGTGTGTGTGTGTGTCTGTGTGAGTGTGAGTGCGGCTGTGTGTGTGTTCGGGGATTCAATTACTTAAAAATCGCATGGCAAAGTGTCGGGGAGTTTGACTTAAAAATTAGCGTAAGTTTTGCCCGGCAACAAAGCAGAGCGACAATGCAGGACAAAGTTGCTGCCACAAAAGTTTTTTTCGTGGCGTTGCCTGTGGAACCACATGCATCATTATCAAGGCCCAATGACAGGTGTGCGCATGCCAATTTGAGCAGCTCTAATTGAATTTAGTAAACTACATATATATATGTGTATGTATATGTGTAGGTATGTATGTATGAATTCGTGTCGTGCCTCGCAGTCTGCTGACTATTGTCTGCACTCAACTCTCTGAGTGTAGGGCGTTCTTTGGGGGCGTGCCGCTGCCGAAAAACTTTCACGCTGTCATTGTAATACACACCTTATCAGAGCGTCAGCTGGGCGGCGGCGGTTCATTGTTTTGTTGTTGCCGCAGCCGTAGCCGGAGCAGGAGCAGGAGCAGAAGCCGAAGCAGAGCTGTGGCTGTGGCTGAGTGTTGCTGCCGTAGCTGCAGGCTGCGTGTCGTGCAAATCCCAGGCAAGTTGTTTCACCCCGCCTGCCGCCAGCGCCGCCAAACAATTAACGTTAATGGATCATGGTAACTTTTTCGCCTTTTTCCACTGTGGATTCCCAGCGGTGCGTGTAAACTGGCAAAAGTAGCGAAAGCAACAACCACGAGCAAACGGAACCGAACCAAAGCAGCTCAGGCTCCATGGCATGTGAGAAGATATGACTCCTCTCTCTCCCTGTGTATGTGTGTGTGAGTGTCTTTCTCTCTCTGCATAAGACTGGCAAGCAGGATGTCTTTCGACACCGTCGCCTGTCTTTGCCAAGTTTTTCGCTGTCTTTTGCTGTTTTGCGTGCTCTCTCTCTACAACTTTCTGCCACTTTTCACTTTTCTTTGCTCTTTCCTTCTTTCTTTTACTTTTCGATTTGTGGGGCAGGCGAGCGAGCGAGCGAGCAATGCGCTCAACTTTTAACACACTCAAGTGTCGTAATTTTGGCTGCTTTTTCGCACACAAAACAATATTAATGCTGGTAGTTTGCGGGGGTGGTGTGGCTGTGG